GCCAATATGGCGGAGGCTAATCCTCTGGCTCGATGATCTGCGCACCGCGGGGTGCAGCCTGCGGAGGCGGAGGGGCGTCATAATTGCCGCTTTATTAGTCGGCCGTCCGCCTCCAGCTCTCTCGGCGGCGCCGATTTTCCGCCTCGATTAAGCCCTGCTATTTTATTTCACCACTCACAAAAAGCCTCGGCCAAAAACAACAAAGCTGCGTCACAAGCAAAGACATAGAAATTAAGAAAGTATCTGAATTTAATTCTTAATTTTATGGAGACCGGATTTCCTTGCAATATTTGCACAAAATTATTGCGGAGATGAATTTTCGTTGATGACGTTTTCCCTCGGATACGCAGTAATTAACAAATGTTCAAGTTAAGGGCTTTTTTCAAATCGAAACTTTGAAGGCAGCAGAGCCTCTAATGAGTTGGGAACACAGAGGGTAAACGCGGTGGCCGGACCAAGATTCGAGACGTGCTAATTAAGACTAATAGCCTTCAAAGCGGCACTCCCCAATTATGTAACGAGCGTGAAAAAACAAAGGACGAAGAAGTGGTTAATTTTGGGACCTGCTCTGGCTCGACGATGAATAGCGGTGCACCATTAATAGAGACCTCACGCTCACACGCGTGCACTCGGCTTTAAATAACTAAAAAGAAGCTTGGATGACGTACTTTTATAATTATATCAAAAATATTAGTAAAATTTAATTTCTTTTTTAATAATATACAACTAGGTATTTTTTATGAAGAAAATTATTGATTCAATTAAAACCATCAATTTAAAAAAAATTAATTGTAACAGCTGGGTTTGTGAACATCTCAATATGTAATAAAGCAATTTAGGTCAATTAACACCATGCAATTTTGTATTCACCCGTATTGTTTTGACTTGGACCCCTTTCAAAAGAGAAATATTATCAGAATAAATATTTCAATTCAATATACTTCCACAAAGAAAATTAAATGAGGCCTTAATCCTTTTTATAATGAACCGAAGGTATAATGTGAGGATTAATTAAGGTTCTATGCTCAGAAATTATTCTAATCTTCAGGCAGGAAAATAATTATTCACACTTTTGCCTTGCAGCGGAATTGTCTTTTCTTATAGGAGAGGGCGAATGATTTATGGCGAGGCGTAATCTGCGCCCTTCCAAATAATTTAACCCGACGACCAACCGGAGCAGGATTAATTAATTTCGGGGCGCGCGCGACGCAAGAGGCAATTAAGACGACGGTCTTTGCGCCTTGGTCTTATCGGGGTGCAATTAGTTGCATGGCGAAATTGCCTTTCTCCAAATCTACCCCCGCCCGGCCAAGGATTAAATCATCCGACTAACCTGCGCCGGAGGTGCAAAATCCCTTCTCCATGCTGGCGGTCGAAACTTGGTGGTTGATTTCGCTGGTGCCCAGATTGTCGCTCTCCAGTTGATCTGCAAATTTTAACTAAATTATGTGATAATATAAAAATAAGTTTTTTTATAGAATTAAAACGTTTTCTTAAATTTTCCTCTCATTAAAAATACGTTAAACAGAGGAAGATATAGATTTCATTTGGTTGCTTTATTAAACCAGAGCAATGTGGAAAACTTGTGCGTTCCACCTAATCGCAGGCACCACGTTTTCTGAGAAACACCTCTTAATCAACATAATTATTATAAAATAATTAACCTCACCAACTTGCCATACAATCTGGAAGGAAGAATTTCTCCAAAGCTACCCCCGCCGAACTAAGGATAAAGTCATCTGATTAACCCGGAGGTGCAAAATCCCTTCTTCATGCTGGCCGTTGAAACTTGAAACTTGGTGGTTAATTTCGCTGGTTTCCGCAAATTGTCGCTCTCCGGTTGATCTGTAAATTCAAATTAAATTAAATAATAATATTCAGAAGTTCATTGGTCTCTAAAACAAGGAATTTTGTATGAAATTAAGTCTATAGTTTGGTTAGCTTTTTTTATTAAAAAATACTAAAAAAAAGGAAGTATAATGTTGCTGGGTTTTCAAAATATTTTTGCTTTAATTATTTTTAATTCAGGCAATTTGTGTAGGCATTCGACAGAAATGATCAAAACAAAAAGTCTCTCTGTTATGAACATTATATAGCTTTTTATGCAAATAATTTGATTAAAACTTCATTAATATAAAAATTAAAAATTTTAAATATATAGAAAAAAGCAAGCTCTAGTAAACACACCAAAAGATAAAAGGAATGGAATAAAGCTCTATCTTTGCTTATATAAATACTGCTTTGGAGCCAGAGCAATCCTTCGTATAAATTTGTACAGTAAAAAATTTGATTAATAAAATGTTAAAATTGGAAAAAAGATATATAGGGAATAACTCCCTCACTCACTCTTTTATCAAATATACGATTTCTCTAACCGCTCTAGAAGGTTTTGGCCCTTTAACTTTGTAAAAAAATCACTCACCACACTGGAACAGACATCAGACACTACATAACTTGGTGATCTTTCCTCGTAGAATTTCGCGACTTCCGAGGGCTCCTTGTGACACAAATCACTCCACAACATTCTTGGAAACAGTTCAGGTCATTGTCAGGCACTTTTGGAGTGTTATTAGCAGTAAAATTAACGTTAAAAGTTCACTACACGACTACACATTCGACCTACGAAAAAGAAAAGAATCTTCACATCATCAGTCATGTCATTTTCTCGATTTGGCGCGAAACATATGCCATAATTATGGTAAGCAAATGACGCTATTGGCCACAACTGTCACGTGACGTTCATCAATCACATGTGTATTGTTTTGTTTATTCCTGATTCCTGATCCTGACTGATCTTGACTGTGAAGTGTGAAAATTATGGTGCGGCTCCAAATTTTCAGTCTCATTTTTGTTGTTTGTTGAAAGTTGATGGACTTGTTGCGATGTTAAATGTGCCATCAAGAACCTGTGAGGACCCTCGGGACAGTTTGAAGAAGGCTCTGGTGGAAAAGCAGGCAAGGTAAGTGCCAAAATCTGATCTGACCGCAATCCGTTCTCATTGTCAGGGGTTTTATTATGCGCTATGATGATGTTGATGGAAGGTGCAATGCAGAAAATAATCTCATTTGAATCAGATTTGCATGATTTAAATCAAAGAACTTAAAAAATGTGAACGATCAAATAATCGCTACATTTATGTCTCATCCTGGGCTCGTTCGCAAACCCCATTCGTGTAAAACATTGAGTTGAATGCATAATCTCAACTCTCAATTAAGGAATATCTTTAAAAAAAATAGAACTTTAAAGACATATTTTGCATCTTTTAAAAATATTTAGGGCGTCAAGAAAACTTAAAAAAAAACTGCTAGTCTTCTTTGTCATTGTTTGATTATATTTTGATTTATCTCCAATTCTATTGCGAATAATTATAAAAAAAAAAACGTAGAAGTTTTTCCTGTACTTTTTAATTATTCTTTTACAGTTTAAATTAAATTTTTCCAATGTGCTGAAAGTTCTTCTTTTTCAGGCCTTATAGTTATTGTGTAAATGATGTAACAGATCAAGTGTGTTTCATTTTAATCTAAAAAAAATATGGAAAAAGTTACACAATTTTGATATTTGTATTTATATGTAAATTTATTCCTATTAAAGAGTTCCAGTTAAAAAAATATTAAATATCAATTTCACCAAATCTTATGATAGAGGTCAAGGAAAGTCTAAAGTCAATAAAAATAGAGATAAAATAAATGTAACCACATCGACTGTTTTGGGTGTTGGATGATTAATTCAACGTGTGATGCGAGCTGCTCACGCGGAAAAAGGCTGACCGCTCTATAATGTAGGATTTTTTTCATCTCTCATTTGCCCAAAAGGCTGTAAACATCTGCCGTGCGTCCAAATATTTTTATTAAATAGACTCCCGACTCTGGCGGGTATAATTATTATTAATAACTTAACTTTATAATAATTTATCGACGGACTGCTCGGGTTCCCATGGACCGGGCTCTCAGCGTGATTTTCCTCTCCCGCCGCCAACTTTAATGTGATATCCATGCTTTCTGCTCTTTTCTGAACCGAAGAGAAAACCAGACCGTAATGTGGAAGACGTGTGCGTTCCACCTAATCAGGCACCACGTTTTCTGAGAAACACCTCTTAATCAACATAATAAAATAATTAACCTCACCAACTTGCCATAAAACCTTGAACCAAGAATTTACATAAAAAAAACTTAATAGCATTACTATCAGTAACAAAAAATTCTAACACAAAAGAATTTTAAAATTACGATTAAAGTAGTTTTATGATCAGTGTTATAGATGTTTATTTTTTGTTTAAAAAATTAGCAGTAAAGGAACCTAAGAAAACATCTGCTGTGAAAATAATCTAATAAATAATTGTTAATTAATCACCTTGCTGTAAAAAAAACATTCGGTTTGAAGTCTGAATAATTTTTTTGCAGAATTCCACTCCTCTATATTCGGCTCGTTGCTCTTGTCGGGGCTCTTTTTAAGCCATACATTTAAATTCACCAAGCGCGAGTGTCCAATTAAGGCAATCTAGTCATTAATTAGGCGAAAATGTATCTACAGCTAATTTGCCGCAACATAATAATTTTCGTTCTTGCTTATCTTCATCTCCACCATCCATCAAAATATGTCACCGCCGAGTCGCGGCCAATTAGCCGACAACGAGCGGCCAATTAATAAAGGCGGATTCAACCGAAATTCCTCACTCGCCCAATTAACATTCCGACTCTTCACATTAATTCGGCAATTTATTCGTCCAACGAGAAAGGCAGGTTGAGTTTGCGTTACTACAAAAGTTGTAAAAATATTGTACTTCAGAAATGAGTAGAGACAGCTAATTTAGCCACCACGGTTGGCAACACTGCGATTTTAATTTACAAGCGTGAAATATTTTTGTCCAAGACTGAAATAAATTTAACTGAAAGTAATCCTGGTGATTTTAGCTTTAATCAATAAATTTAAATATTAAAAAAAATTCAAAACATTTAATGAAGGTTGGTCCACAATTGAAAAGCAAAATTTAACGTAGAACGAATTAATGCAGGAATCATATTTATTAGCTGCTACGCACTTTGGACACATACACATATTTACACACTGGAATGTACCTCACAATAAATATCTCGTAACGAGAGTTTTTCTTTCAATAGTTCGTTTGCCCACAAAATTTCAGTTCACGAGTTTCCGCTTGGTGGCGAGCTGGCAGCGGAAACTGCGGGGGGTGGCGCGGGGCCGAAGGAGAAGGGGTGGTTGCCCATGACTCCGGCCAGTGCGGCGGCCATGGCCCTCGGATGGTGCTGATGGGCCGCAGCCAAAGGGCCAAGAAGGGCGTGGTGGGCGTGGCTCTGCAACAGGCCAAACGGCGGCCCGTACAACGGCCGGGCGGCCATCTTGATTTTCTCAATTTCGGCCTCTTGAAGGCGTTTGGCCTTGGCGCGGCGGTTCTGGAACCAAATCTTGACCTGCGTCTCCGTCAGGTGCAGCGAACTGGAGAACTCTGCCCGCTCGGCAATCGACAGGTACTGCTTTTCGCGGAATTTCTTCTCCAGTGACATGAGCTGCTGTGTTGTGAATGGCGTCCGGGGTTTCCGATTCGGTTTGTGCTTCCGCAGGTTGCATTTGAGCTTTGGCGGCTCACCATCTGGAACAAAAAATAAGAAAAACTTTATATATAAACCAATATTTAGTTATTAAGAAGCACTAGCGCCATCTAGTACTGGTTTATTTTGGAAATTTAAATTTAAGTAATTTGGTCTTGTGATATATCATTTTATTCGTCTGTTTAAGTGAAATGCATATGTATAAAATAACAGTGAAGAGGATCAAATGATAGAACAATTCGTGTTATTTAACCCCCTGATAATTCTTTCTTGAGGATAATTCAAATTATTATTAATTCTCTAGCTGCGCAGTATTCAATTCTAAATTTAAGATCAGTGCCACGGAAATTTAGAAAGGGCATGTTTGTGGATTTTTCCCAGCACTGCCTCGAGGATGACTGTATGGTTTCGGGCGGCCAATTAGACAAAAGGGCAATTGTGAGCGCCTTGATATCTCAATCACGCTCGTATTCGTTTTTTATTCCGTGCGTGCGTCCGCAATTGGGCTTAATTAAGCGGCAGCCGGCGATAATACGAGGCATTGTGTTTGCACAATGGCATAAATAGAATCGCCGTCGACACTAATGAGCCGTTTGAGCGCAACAAATGGTGGTCCGCGCCGTGGACCAAAGAAAAAAGCGGCAGCGCATGCATACATATAAGTACATTCCGTCCGATATAATATAATATCAGGCGGCGCTGAGAGAGAACCTTCGGCAGGTAAATTGGGGGAGGCGCCGCCGTCGCATGACTGGCAGGAATGCAACGCGCCGACAATCGGTCTGTTGATTTGATAACAAGCCGCCCTGCGAGTACGATTCAATAAAGCAGGATGCGCCTCTCTAGCTCGCGAATGTGAGTAATTAAGCTTCGATTGATTCGCCGCCGGTTATTAGGCAACAATCGGTGGGCTAATTGAGATAAATCATCACCGCCGCCCGACGTAAATTGAGCCAATTAAGACTATCGAAACTTCCAAATGGGACCTTAATTGAATGCTATTGTTATTGTTTATTCTTCATTACAAGAGTCGGTTAATTTACCACGGGCATGACAGCAGCAAAAAAATATTTAAGTAGTGCGATTATCAGAAGTATAAACTCCAGTTAATGAGTCTCTATTATCCATAAAATGAAAGCATTAAACTATAATTATTTGAAAAGTGACTATATGAAATTTAAAATTAGATAACTTTGATAGGTTAATTGTGAGTCTAAATGCAATTATTGTCGTTGTTTTTATAATTATATCCAAAAGCTAACAGTTTTTAAATTGCTTCATATTGGGATATAAAGTTTTAGTTTATCAATACGCATTTTTTATAAAATCAAAATTCTTCATCCAGCACCGATTGAAAAAATACATTGTATTTTCGATAGTCATATGTGACTTATTGGAATTTTTAAATAAAAATAATTTACAACAAATTTTTAAGTCGTACAATTTTTTCCCTGAAATCATAATGAAGCAAATATTTATGTAGGAAGCAATTCAATTAAATTAAATTTAAAATATATTGCATAATTTACTTTTTGTAATCCCAACAACGCAACGTTAAAGATTTTCGCTTCAAACATTTTGAATTATTTTACCTTTTTTATTTTCAGAGTTTTGCATTAATTAATGATATCTTTATCATTTTGTATGCAAAAAAATTTATTTGTAAACCAACCCGTTACACTCCATGGCTAACAAGCCGCCCTCGCAGTGGCGCACTAAGATATCTCGCTGATCGCGTAATTAATTAGCCTTGATAGGGCTGCGCGATAAAATTCAAATTGCATACACATATAATATTTATTCGCTCGGGGCGCAATTGGCTCTCGCGTGTCGTGCTTGATGGTCACGCGAGTCGCGCCGCCTTTTCTTCACCTCTTATTGCTGGCAATCGCCGCAGCTCACGGCACCCCCCGAATTTATTTGCCTCTTTCGCAGTCAAATTGCGGCCGAGATAAACGTGAGTTATGCTGATGACTTAATCGCACGACAAATACCGTTCTAATTCTGGGGACTTTTTTCTATTTAGGAAAAAAATTCTGTTCTGATTGTGGGCATGTAAGGAATTCTTTATCCTTCCAAAATAAATTATTCATATGAAACTATTTCCGAGCAATTTATTAACTTTTAATTTTCTTCCTCTATCAAAAACACGTGCGCGGATGTCTCAAGTGAGGCGGAAAAACGGATGTTATAAAGAACAATTTTTAAGAAACAATGCGATTTCCTTCTATTTGTCCCTCGGTCAGGGTCAAGGTTGTGGGAAATCGCAGTCGGTTCCCACACTGTCGGCGTCACCAGGTATACATTATAATACACAAAATACCGCCGTGTTTCTGATTTCTGATCGATCAAATCGTCATGCGAATTACAATTCACTTTTGCAGGTGCGTCGTTCTAATTAAAAATTACTTCCTCTTCAAGCCCGACACATTATTCATGAGCTTTAATGAATAATACCAATAAATGACATCATCCTTTGTGACAATTCTTCATTGTTTTAAAAGCACATAATATACAAAATGTGTTTTGAAAAAAGGTAGAAAGTTCTATATTTAATTCAAACTTTGAAGGGGCTGCAAAATTTTATTTTCTAGGAAAATTGTAAAATTGATATTTAAGCTTGGATGTTTCCCAAGCAGGTGAAGAGATGTAATGCTAAAATGATAAACGTGAATAGAATTGTTTATTGAAGTTCTGAAGTTTATGCATGCTAGCGCGGGTGAGTTATTATACGGCTCTATTTGTTCACTGCATGGCTTATAAAATAAACCTCTCTCTCTCTCTTCGTTAAACGCGATCAAAGTGTCTCTCTGGCTCAATCCGGTTTTGTTTCCCGCCAGCAGCAGCAGCTCTCTTGCTTCTTACATAAATTTTAACTCATGCTGGAAATGGTAATAATAAGAGACCGTTTAGTTGATCGCCTGGAGAGAATAAACCGGCAGAAAAGTCGCCAAAATCAATTTAATATTTTAGTCCTTTTCCGAGAAAATAATTTTAAACAAGTTTCAAGTATTAAAAATTTAAATAAATATTATGCAAATATTTACATTATTGATATTCTGTGTAATAAGTTTTTATGCTGATGATATTTTAAATGCATCAAATTCAATAAGAACTGTAAATGTTGTTTGAATCATGAGCAATTAATAATGAAGTGTCTTTATTTGTCACTCGGAGGAATTGAAAAGCTTTTTCTTTGTTTTCACAAGAATTCAAAAGAAAATGGCTCTTTCAAATTAAACATGAGAGGCCAATTAAAAGTTACAAATTGGAAGCGGACGCCGAGAAAGAGAGAATCGGTTACTTTTTTAGCGAAACAAGTTGGAAATGAAACTCGAATGACGGGATTTCTGAGCGCTGCGAAAGCGGCAGAAACTCGTCATAAAATTAAGCAACTCTCTCGTTATAAGGCGATTTAGATTTTTTCCTGCCCGCCGTCCAAACATCACAAGCTTGGAAAGCATCTGGCAACTCCACTTAAATATTATTACACGTGTTCTTACTAACTTCTATTGACTTTTCTGCTGGAATTCTTGAATGATTGCAAAATATGAAATATTATTTTATATAAAAGAACACTCGAAATGTTTCAAAACGATTTCTTGAATTTCTTCATTTAAAAATCCTTCAACCTAGACCCATTTTGAAATAAAATGTCTCTCCCTCGGGTAAATAAATTCAATTTTTTGCTGCTGATATAAAGTTTAGGGTGAAAAATTTATCGTGCTTGGCGTCCGTGCCAAAGCGACTAACAGTCCAATTAACCGGCACTTGAATGCCAAACATTTATCCGCCAACCCTCTCTCTAATAGCCAAGCTTTTAAGTCGGTGCTACCGCTTTTGAAAATTTTAAATTTCATCCTCGTTAATTAAAAGATGGATTTGCTTTTTAATTGCGCTTAATAACTCCGGCGTCCCCGCACGCCGCTTATAGCTTTTATTTCTGGCGCCCTCCGAGCAGCGCTGCCGACTGATCAAAGAGTGTTTATTTTGGACCCAATCAAAATACCTCCCGCAAAACAAATAGAGACGCTTTAGCCAAGAATCCGCTGTGAGTTACGCGCCTGATTTATTTCGAAAACCAGCCTTTCCTTTTTTATATTATCTTCTCAAGTGAGAGCGCAATGCACAGCGCGTGTTTTAAATAAACAGTTTCAAAGCCCAATTAGCCCCTAATTCACTTTGATTTGTCTCCTCTAAACCATTCCTTAGCCATACAGTGTGTATTTAAATTAATCGATCAATTATTCAATCTTGTACTTTACTCTAAAGAAAAGCATTAAGTAAGTTTATTAGACTAAACTCATCTATCATAGTAAAAGCCAAAATTATTTCACCAAAACATAGTTGACAGTAATTTTTAACTAAATACATACATATACTAATGCAAATTAAGTATAATCAAGAATTTTATGTGGTGTATGACTTTTGTTAATGCACTAAGAAATCTTTTTCATTTTAAATGGATTTTAAATTTAATCATTTAAACCCAGTTGGATTGACAGAAGTGTAAAATAGGCAAAATCATTACACAGAGGACACTCTTGTTGCCTATATAACGTTTCATATAACATCGTTTGTGTCCATTTTGATTAATTTCGAATTATTTAAAATACTTTGAAATAAAACCACAAAATCTCCTGTTAGTGCAGGTTAGCAGTAAATTTTAATCAATATATGATCAAAATCGGAGGTGCTGAAAAAGTGCTTAATTCCAGCATCAAGTGATGAATCGTTATTCAGCTTAAATCTGATATTTTTTTGTCATTAATTCTAATTATTATTTAAAACTTTGGAAACTTTGTAGCGCTTTTGTAGGAAATTAAAATCTAAATTAACTGCTGGCAATAAGATAGCAAGGACAATAAAACTTGACCTTTTCAATCTCATTCCACTTTAACTCTTTACACTATTTTGTAGACGCGCTAATACATCTAATAAAACACAGAGAGAGAATCTAATTATTCGCGGGCGTTAAATAGTCCGTGAATAAGAAACAGAGAGAAAGGGGCGGGTCTTGTTTTAATTCTTAATTATACGGGGAGCTTTGATGCAGCGCTCACACTAATAATTGCCTTTACGACCGGGTAATTAAGCGTTTAATTAAAAAAGATGAAAGAAAGGCGGGTTTCCTTTTTCTCTTCTCGTGATTCCCAGCTACAAATTATATATACGCGCCGCGCGTCTCGTTTCGTATTTTTACTTTAATAATTTTCCAGCACCACTCGAGCGGTAAAACGTTTTTTTATTGCAGCGCATCGCAGCAAAGAAAGATTTGTAATTAATTTTTCGGCCAGCTGTTTTCGCACCTCGCAATTAATTGCACGTCATTTCACATCATTTCACCGCAAATTAGTTATCAGTTAAAAATTTATAATTTTTTACACCTTCCTCATAATTATCCAGTATAAAATTATGTAAATTGAAAAGTGAAGACAAAAATAGCTATGATGAATGATAACATTTGCTTTTTTATTTTATTTTTAATGTATTTTATTGAAAAAAAAAGTCGTTACATAGATTTTAATTCAAAATTGAAATTATTTTATGGATTTATTTTTTTACCTTCCAATAATGTTGAGAGAAAATTAGTTAAAGTAGGATAAATAGCGCGGCGGCACCGGCGGCTCAAATAAAACCCTCAACAATTACGAACAATAAACATTTTCGGCTAAGTGAATAAGAAAATTTTCGGGTTCTCTTCACGATTTGAGGCCGCGCGCGCAATAAACACTTGGGCATCTCGCTTTGAACGCGGCGAGCATTCAATAAAAAGAGTGCCGCGCGTTTTCCCCGCCGCTCTTTTATTAATTTACGACGACGACAAAGTGGCTGCTGCACGCCAAGCGCCGAAACTCCTGCGCACGCAAATGCTGCAAACGCGCGGCTCGTTAACAAAACGAATTTGTCCGCAATAAAAATTTTGGAAATGGAAAAAAAAATCGTGCGCGTCTCGCAGGCAGAGTCAAAAGCAGCGGCTTTTGGGAGAAAATCAACGAGGTGATCACGACGCGGTTGTCCGACATGGAAATTAATTAATTTATTGCGCTCTTCTCACGACGCCGAAAGTGTTACTCCGTTCGCACCTCTCGGCGCTGAAATGTAGACCTCCTTTCCAACCATTACATCAAGTACATACTGTGAAAAAGATTTGCCGAAAATCATGAAACGAAAGAGAATATTAATTTATTTGAGCTTGTCAGAAAATATAACTTTGATTGCGTTAGAATTTAAATCCTGTTCTAAAAGTTAAAAAATTAATATAGAAATTAAAATAAATAAAGATTAAATTCCGTAGTTAAATATTCAAATTAAATATTCATTTCTTTCTTGCAAAAATCTATCGGGTTTCATTTTTTATTGAAAATGGAAATAATAAGCCTTAAAAATTATGCAAGTTCATGACAGAAAAAAAATGACGAGCCGCAATGAAAAAATTATTGAAAGTAAATATTTATTTCAATTAAATTACCATCTCTACAAATCTAAATTATTTTTAATTTTATCAGTCGAATGAGTTTGAAATCCTTTAATAAAAATATTAAGCTTTTTTACAATTTTTGTGTTTAGTTTTGTCAGCTGCTATTTATAATTGATTCTGGAAGTAAATCCGTCTCTCGCGTTGAAAGCACTTTTGATGTGCTCGGATTAATTCAGTTTACGTTTGTGCTGCCAAGATCTTAAGTGTAATTTGTGCGCCTTAAGAATGTTTAACAAACACGCGGAGACTTAGAGCCGCGATAAAAATACCACTCCTATACCCCTTAAAGTTGATGGATTGCTTTAGCTTCTCGCTCAATTGGCCTAATCCTTTTCAAATTAGCAGATTGGACTTAAAGTTGCTAATCAACTGCGCCATCTTGCCCAGTTTCTGATCACGGTGCTAATCGACGCACCAACCCATAGGTTTCTACTCGGTTGTGGTGCTAATTTATCTGTTTTTGAGCAGAGAAATTTCGACAGTCTCCTCTAATGGACTTTCCAACAAGCTAATTTCCAAGTTGAACACACAAAACTTGCTAATTTGAGAGAAAAGAAGGGATATTTTAAAAGAATTCCAAGGCATGTTTCAAAATTTTATTTAAATTTGAAATAATTATTTAAAACATTTAACTTCCCTCTTTTAATTTTCTGCAAAAGTTAAGATTTAAAGAAAGATAAAATAATATTAAATTTCACAGAATTGTATAATAAATGATAATTATTTTTTAAATTTCATCGAATTATGAATATGGGGTTTGGAACTGAAATTAATTAAAAACTATGAAAAATGATAAATTATTTAAAATAAAAACTTCCTCACCTGAACCAGGTGTGAGCCCATTGGCAAAGGGTGAGAGGCCAGCGTGCGCTCCGAAGGGCGAGCCGAAGGGGTTGTGGTGCACGGGGTGGAGCGGCCACGAGGCTGAGGGGTAGAGGCTGAAGGGCGTCGGGCGCACCACGTGCGCCATCAGGCCGGCGGCCAGTCTGGCGGCCGAGGGGGCAGGCGACTCTGCACCGCTGGTGCTGGGGGCAGGGCTGCCCGGCGGGGTGCCGAGGACGCTGACGTCGTCATCGTCGTCGCTGCAAACAGTGTCCTCGACCTCTTCCTCCGGGGGCGGCGGTCGACGCGTGTCGGCCAAAAGCGCGGCCACGCTGAACGAAAAGCGTTGCTTCGACGACGCTTCCTTCGGAATTTCACCGTCTTGCTGCATCACCGTCATCACTGCACCCTGCTGCATCCAGTCAACGCCACAGCACCCAACCTCTGCAAAAACCCAATTTCCATCAATTGAAATCTTGGATTAATTTGAATATCCCTTTGATTTAAAGATTCAGTTTAGTTCAATTATTTGAATTATACAAAAAAATTTAATTTGAAATTTTTACATAGATGCAGTTTATTAAAGATGGGGCAAAGAGAGGATTAATTTTTGCGTAGAAATTTGTAATTAATTTAATAATGGAGCTGTAAAAATTTATCAACCAATTTTAGATTTAATTTTCATCATTGATTTAATTAAGAAACCTGCATGTGTGATAATTAAAAGTTATGTAAAAAATTAAAATTCTTTTTGAATTCTTATTATAAGGCGACGGTAGGATTTAAAAATCTAAATCTTTTATTTTCGTCGTCAATAACTTGATTTTTTGCAGCAGTCTGGTTTAATATTTTTCACAGATTTTTCATTGAAAAGAGATCTTATGAGAAGAGAAAATATTTTAAAATATTTAATTGAGTGGTAGGAAGTTCCCTAAGTGGAAGTTGCCGAAAGTGGAAGTTGCCTAGTAAAATGGAGGCAAAAGGTGGGGCCAGGGTAGCATGGGGAGGAAATGGGCAACATCGACACATAATTTGACAGTAGCTGAAGCCAATGAGTGAATGGAAATCCACATAAGTGTAAATGTAGGTCGAAATTGCGAATTTTTGCATTGAAATAAAAAATCGCATGTACATTGAGGGTGCAAGTGGAACCTCCCGAAAGTAGAAGTTCCCGAGAAAGCTACTCAATTTCCACTTTCGGGAGTTTCTACTTTTGGAGGTATATTTTTTATATTTTCTGAGCTTTTTAAAATTTCATTGAGTGGAAGTTCCCGAGTGGAAACTCCCTAATAGTGGCTTCAAGTATTGTCGGAACTGGAAGGCAGGTGGCGCTGTTGAATCTGCGTGAAGGCAGCAACACCTCTGTTTATCAAATAGTATTCAAAAAAGGTGCACTTGCTGGCAAAAGTGGCAATTTTTGCAGGTTGTACCAGAGAAAGATACGCTTTGGCAGCTCTGGGCCTGCGAATGAAAGGAGAAAACATTATTTCTCTCCTCGGCCTCGTTTCTCATCAGCTGAGATGAAATTATCTGATTTTGTCAAACAAAACATAAGGCTTTTTTGCATTTGAGTTTTCTAAAAATGCACTTGCATTGCTTGTCTCACTAAGCAGAATTATTTTTTTTAATCTCCAAATCTCAAATGAGTTTGAAATAAAATCATGTATGATGATAAATTATTATGATTTTTTTTTTAATTATTCTAAATTATTAGCTGCATTTCATAATTTTGATTTCAATAAACACAAAACTTTAAGTTAAATCAATTGCTCATAATCAAATTCTATTAATCTAAATTCTAAATCAAATTAAAAATAGTGGAAACAACAATAAAAATACTTCAGCCTTTTCAGAGTTTTTTATGTTTAGTTTTTTTTTTTTGCTGTGTGCTCATGAACTGCATTGAATGGAAAGTAAATAAATACAAGAATTTCATAAATCGGCAATTTCATTGCTAATGTAAAGCCAATTTTTTTGGTTCAAAAAGGCACTAATTATTTTTATTAAATGAAAATATAATATAATGTATTCCATGGTTAAAATCTTGAAATATACATGTTTTGCGATTTTTATAAATATTCGTTAATATTTATAGAGTATTATATTTAATTATCTGAACTCCAGTTGCAGTCACGAAAAAATTCTTGGTACCAAATTTAATGCTAGAATGAAAATTGAACCCCTTTTTCAAAAATGAACCTTTTATTATAAATATAAGCAAAGCTATGGAAATTTGAAATCACGCTTACAAGAAATCTAAAAGTTCTACTTTGCTCTGCAGCAAGCTTACGGCTGGTTTTTCGCGCCGTTAGAATGGGGCGGGTCAAATAGTATGTTGTATTAATTGCTCATTTCTCATCTTCCAAATTTTATGCATTTTATCATTTTTGCCGCATCTATGTCTACAAATTTTAAAAAATATTCCAACGCGAGCGAAAGATAAAGTGAAAAACTTTAAAAAATTAGCATATAACTGAATAGTGCACTTTCTTTTGTTAATTATAGTTTTTAAAAATCACTGAAATTTAGCACATATTTACGCACAAAAACCCGTTGCAAAGCAATTTATAACTCTTTTTGTTTTTTTAATATTAAATTTGAAGTGAGAAAAAATGCGTCAAAAATGGAAAACTATTGAGCGTGTTATTAAGATAACCGCTGGTCAGAATTTTACGAACAAGACGTTTACCATGCAGCCATGCAGAATAATTATATTTTTTCTAAAATTTATCAAAAATCCATATTTTTTAATTTTAATGACACTTTTAATATAAAAAATTTTGAGAAAAACAGGTAAAGTAAAGATATTTGTTTAGAATTAAATGATACATGTCTTATATTTTGCTGTGCTTAGAACAATTGAAAACTGAAATGGATTTTTACCGCTATCAGCTAATTCCACAGACCGTAGGAGAGACGAATAAGATTATTATTTCCTTTTGCTGCCTCTCCTTTAACTTACATCATTATTAGTTCTTTATCTGACGGAAATATAAAACATCAAGTTAATTTAAAAGATTGAAAAAGTCATTCAAATAATTTTATTTTATGTTATAAAAATAATTATGCTTATCCTATTACCCATTTTAGTGAATACACGTAGATCTACAAACCTCTAACTACGCGCCATGCGCACCATTTGGCGATGCTTCAAATTTTTTGAAATCAATGTTTAACATTTAGAAAAAACAGTTTGCTAATTTTTATTTGATTTTCTCTAATCAAGAATTCTTAATTATAATCATTAGAGTAATAATAGTTTGAAACCGGTCAATATAGGCATTATAACCTTACAAGAAAAATTATCTTTTGCCATATTAGGTTGTATCAAAAATATTTTGTAATTAATGCTCATTGCAGACATTTTTCAGAAATATATTGGATACCTGATTTGAAAAAGAAATTTGATCTCCCGAAGAGAGAAAATTAATTAAAGCTCCTTGAGAGCTTATGTATATTTGAGAACCTAATTATTATACTTTTCGTCCATCAGACATGAATGAAGTACTTATTTTTATTTGCCGTTGGTGTCGTAGAACAGTAGACTTTTTCTACTCCGAGCAATCGCAGACAGAGGCAACAAATAAGAAAAGTGTTTAATGCTCTGAAATGTAATAATTAAATTTGAAATATCGTCGCTTACTCTGTTTAGTACGAAATAATTAAAACAAAATATAATATTTTTTTAGAAAATAATATTATTATTTTTCCTTTGCATTTTCATATTCAAAAACAAATTTAAGTTGTTTTTATTTGGAAGTCATTATATAAATTTTTTCCACGGCGAAGAGGTGCCTTCACGCAGATTCAACAGCGCCACCTGCCTTCCAGTTCCGACAATACTTGAAGCCACTATTAGGGAGTTTCCACTCGGGAACTTCCACTCAATGAAATTTTAAAAAGCTCAGAAAATATAAAAAATATACCTCCAAAAGTAGAAACTCCCGAAAGTGGAAATTGAGTAGCTTTCTCGGGAACTTCTACTTTCGGGAGGTTCCACTTGCACCCTCAATGTACATGCGATTTTTTATTTCAATGCAAAAATTCGCAATTTCGACCTACATTTACACTTATGTGGATTTCCATTCACTCATTGGCTTCAGCTACTGTCAAATTATGTGTCGATGTTGCCCATTTCCTCCCCATGCTACCCTGGCCCCACCTTTTGCCTCCATTTTACTAGGCAACTTCCACTTTAGGCAACTTCCACTTAGGGAACTTCTACCCCCCCTATTTAATTGCTTATAGAAATTTCATAAACTAAATATACAATTGAGAACGTTTCCTCTGTGTGGTTAAAAAAGCTTTAAGTTGAATTTAAAATGCGATCAATATTATGCAGGACTTTCGGGCCGGTAATTTTTTTATAACTTATTATTCGTATTTTATAATTTGATTCGCAATAAATCAATAACCTTGGAGCATTATTGTCTAAATATTTGATCAGAAATAAGGGATAAAAAAGAGATAATTAGCATAATTTAAATAATGTATTTATTGAAATATCATGGTAAGAAGCCTGACCCTAATGCTTTTTTCAAATTGAAATAAAATTATTGGGTTTATTTTTGAGCAGTTTTCTTCTGAATATCAGACAAGTATCGCAGGGATTTATTTTAATGTAATTAATGAATATCGGATGTTCGCTTACTTAGAATTTAATTTGCAAACAAAACATTGCTTGGGTGTGTGTGTTTTTTTAATTTGTTAGATGATATGCCTGTCTTACTTCCAGTCGCAAGCAAGTGTATAAATTTTATCCTGTATTAAAATTTAAATTATATGTACACAGCTTTTGTGATTGAACAAAAATTGTCTTTCAAATGAAAATCGTCGCATGCTATCTTTTGGTCCAAAGGTCCACGCACCACAATAATACGAAAAAAAACAATGTTGCAGATTTAGTTGCTTATGAGCTCCTTATTACAGGCACAAGTCAAGTTGTACTTGATGCAAAAGCTTTGGCAGCAATACAAATTTGCCCCGATTGTTATGATTCGCATCAAGTCGATCTTGTTTTTATATTCACATGAAAATTTCGCTTCGGCGCATTTTAAACAACAACTTTATTCTATTGAAAAACTGACGGTCATGGTTTGAAAATAAATAAAATATTCCACCCTCAACCCTTTTTCTCACCTTTTGCGGCGCCTGTAGAGGTCGGGTCGGCACTCAGGGCGGCACCTTTGGCAGGGTTGGAGATTCGCTCTCTCGGATTCCGCTCCTTTTCGCTCTTTCTGGCTGGCGTCTTGGGGTCAAGCTAAGACCTGACGAGGGTCATCCTTCAGGGCGGGGGTTTCTGCAAATTCGGCAAAGTGGCACCCTGGGCAGGTCGACGGCAGGCGCACGAAAGGGTCAGGGCGTCGCACTCGACACTCACTCGGTCTGTTCGCGTCCGACTGCGGCGAGCGACTGCGACGGGCCTCCGTGGGAGGAGCCGTGGCCTCCGGAGGCCCCGCCCCTTTGGCCGCACCCTCGGACCAATCGGCGGCAGCTGTTGCTCGCTAATAGACCCGTTTATTTGTACTAAGTAGATAACAAGCCTGTAATCGTCGTCGGCCGCCGCCGCCGGTGTAATTGAGAGGGGGGACTGCTGCTAATTAACGGCCCGGCGCTGCAGAATTAATTAAGCCCCAGCACAAAAGGGACAAAAGCGACGGTAATAGAGCAACTTTCCCTTTGTCAGCACAGTTTCCAACTCGAATTGCGACGACGAGATGAGTCGAGAGAGAAATTTCAGTTGGGATCGGATCTGCCAGTGCAGCGATATCAAGTATAATGAGTTTCCCAAAGCAGACTGTGATGGCACAATTGCAAGCTAGAAGTTTAAAATTGATTGAATTTGTAAATTAGAAAATAATTATCAATAATAACTGAATCCAAAGCAACAAAGCGACAAAAATAAAGAAACAGGGAAAATATTTGAATTTTATTGCTGAATTGAAATCGATAGTCTAAAGGGCCATCAAAACAGAGTCCAAAAAATTGTATTATTTTATATAATCCTTAAATTTGAATTTGGAAATTTTTTTATTTTATATATCATTCCATCTGTAACTACTTAGAATCAAAATTTGAGATTTGCGCACTTGTCTTGCTGTATTAAACTCTATTAAAATAATAAAAAATTATTCAAATTTTCATACTTTTGAACATAATAATTGAAAATATGACCAAAAAATATCAATTAATTATCATTAGTACTTAAATTACTTGAATTATTCTTTGTCTATTTTTCTCATTGTCAAACCTGCACAGGATAAAACAAAATTGGAGCTTAATTTTCGCAGCAAAATCCTTGCTGGAGCGAATAAGAGATGGAAAAGTGCTGGTTTTTGTGGTGCTGCTTTTGGGTTCGGAGAGAAAAGGCAGTCGTAAATCGTCGGCGGCGGCAATGAAAGGGCATTAACGAACGTTGCGGTCCTCTCGGGCGCCTTTTTCAGACCCTCCCTCTGCTCTCACTTGCTCTCCTAAATTAGATAATGTTTCAAAATGAATTGAACATAATGGACGCAGCGGCTCTCGTTTACTGCCGCGCGCGCCAGAGATAAGCCGCGCAATAACAAGGGCCGTTTTCACGCCCCTCTGCTCCGAATGTGCTGCCCTGTATGTTGTTAGCTCGGGCGTTTATCGATTCGCCGGCACGCACACAGAATAATCACACATCAAAAATAATAATTCGGCGCGATAAGCGCAAAAATGACGCGGGGGTGCAGCAGCGTTTTCGCTTCCGTCAGAATACATTATATAAAACGCTGCAATAAATGCACCCTCGCCGCGCCGCAGAGATGAATTCATTCGTCTCTCTCTCTCTCTCATGACCAGAATTGCTTTCTTTCGGAAGTGGAAATTGCACCGATAGGGGAACTAAGTGCGCTTACTTTTTCGGCTTTTTGTTTCCAAATGGCTCTCTCTTGCAGGTACTCTTTACTTCTTTCGTAAATGGCCACAGCAGCAAAAGTTTATGACTATAGCACACTAAAAATTTCCCGCAAATAAAACTACATCTCGATCAAATGTTTGTTGCAAATTGCTTTTTGGATTCCATGCATTAATTGCAAACGAAGCAGCACTTGATTTTTTAATATAATTTTTATTTGGGTAGGGAAATGCTCGATGAGCATTTAAGAGTTATTTTTAGACTTTCCGAGTTTTATTTAAATATTTTAGAGAATTTTCATTTTTTTTATTAACATTATATGCAACCTGCACTACTTTTGGGGACTCTATGCTATAGCACTGCTCTTAATATTTTAATTTTTGCCCAACTTACCTTGGAATGTTCATTTACATTGTAAAACTATTAAAAATTTAGGCAACGAAAGTGTCTTCTGCGTAATATATTTAGCCTAATTTACAGATAGAAGAGATTTTACTGGGAACAAAAATGTGCAAAAATTATTGGCCGTTCTTGAGTACTCAAAGGAGCTATAAAATTTTCACTGAAGTCAGAATGTTCTCATCACAAACAATAATTTGTGTGTAAAGAGCATGTTGAACAAATTTGATTTTTTTCCGTACTTCAAGGCTGCAGTGCGGCGAGTAGGCGGGTATTTATCGCCTCTCGGTGAATACTCGGTTATGAGTTTCTGTGAGTTTTGTTCACTAGCAATGTGTGCCTATTTTTCTCTCAACCAATTTTTTTTTACAATTGATTGTCCGACTTGTTTGGAGTAAAATAAAACAAAATTGAATATAATTATTACAGACGTTTTTCTGAATTAAAAAACCTGTAAATTGTATTAAGAAGATAAAAGAATCCTAATTCGTTTGTAAAATTATGTAAAAAAAAATGTATTTTATTTAATTTTGCAAAAATTGATATGAATTGCTAGATCGATGAATTGCTCTTCCTCCAATTAGCTCATTGCGTTTTCTGCTTGTTACACACGACTTGTGCAGAGGAAATAATTAAATTTTTATTTTTACAACATGCGGAAATTATTAACCTCCTTCCTAATCCATAAAATCTACAGTGAACATTTTAATCATTGAATTTTAATCGAAAAATATCTATTCCATTATTTTCTAAAATTTTAAAGAAATTATATTTTTGTCAATAGAAGGCTTCAATAAAAAAAACCTTGATATCTATCGTTATAAGATTAAATTAACTTTCCGTAGAAATTCTGGCAAAACCTCTAAAAAACAAACATTTTGTGGGCCTATTTTTCTCCATCCCCTATGTGCAGCTCAAAGCACATTAATAACCCTTTGGCGAAAAACGAAGCCGGTTCCCCTGGTGGTGCAAACGACCGCGTCGCGCGCTCTAATCCCTCGAGCTCTACAATAACATAAGCGAATGCAGATTTGAGAGCGCGGCGTTTAATTCCTGTGCTTGCGCTGCTGTGGTTTGGCGTAATGAAGCCTGAAGAGGCGCTGCTCTGCGCGTTTGTTGTTATGTTGTCATGTCGTTTGCGGTAATTACGCACGCACACGGCTTAATTACGACGTATGATATTAATAATACTGTGCGCATAGAGAGAGCGAAACCACAGAGCAAAGCAAACGTACGCAATTAAGGCGCATTTATTTTTGATGTGGTCCCTCGCGCTCCTCCCTGCGCGCAAAGCCTCTCTGGAATTAATTTGCAGGAACGAATTTCGCTCTCAAAGTGGTGAGATTTCTAAACAATTCCCTGTATATGTCATGGAGAAAATAAGCTAAAAAGGTATTAAATTAAATTTTACAAATGTTTTTAATAGTATAAATCATTTAGTTTTGCTAAATTTTCAATAAAAGTTAAAAAGGTTTTCTTTTTAAAACATTCTTTTTAAACATAATAAGTTTACCAATTGAATTAAATTAAAAATCCAATCCATAATATCACAAGAATAATTTCAATAAAAATTTTACTATCCTACAATTTTTTTCAACATTCATTAAACACTATATATTTGAGTCAATTACAATCATCATATTAGAGCTAAACACTATATTGAGTTGGCCTTTTATGACACATATAAGCGGATCTTGCTTTTATTATTTTTTGATAAATGGAAGTTTTCCCTTATTTTTTTTTATCGATTGTATGCGTATATTTGAGTGGCAGCAGAGCCGAATGTTAACGTCGTTTTGACTGCGCTGCGGTGGTAATTGAGAGAGCGCCGCCGAAGGGTGACGGTGCACATTGTAATTTTTCCGAGGTGCCGACGAGAATGAATGGGTCTCCGACCGATACACACAACCCATTAGGCCCCTCTGGCTCTCGCTGCGAGTGCGAGAGCAGCCGAGCAGAAAAACTGGAGAAAATCAATTAGGACGCACCAAAGGAGCTGGCGGCCGGCTTTAAAGGGGATGATGAACGCCGCCTTATAATAACTCTGATTTTATTTTGTTCCATATACCATAAAGAGGAATGCACAATCAGAAAAAAATTATAATGCAAAATATTAAATTAATATATTTAAAAACTGAAGAAAAAGGAACAAAAATATTAATTAAATATTATTGAGCGGGAACGGCTGTTGTTAAAATTAAAAATTTAATTTGAAAAGGAGTCACTTAAGATTTAATTGTGAAATTTCTGAATAACTTTGACATATTCAAAATTCTCAAAATAAGTGGAACTCGGAACAATAATAAAATCTGCAGCATGAACAAATTGAAAAGAAATTTGGAACAAAAAAATATTGATAAAAATCAACGTTCTTAATTGGTGGAAGATTAATTTTTGGCATAAATTCTTTTTATCAATTCTGTTCCTGCAGATTAGTGACTTGCTTTTATGCTTTTGAACATTTCGCGTTCAAGTTCACTTTTGGCTCTTTTTAAGAGGTGCGGGGTGGGTATAGTGAACGGCGGATGTTGTATAACAAACAAGCAAAGCGGTTTGTAATTGTATGAAATTGATGCTCGTCGAGGCGGCGTCTTAATTAATAGACGCTTAATGAGTCTTCAAAGGGGAACGCGAGAGCTTAATGGGCAGCATCAGTCACACGCTGCTTTTTGGCGCCGACCCAGCTGCTGTTTGTTTGATTTTTTGCCCCGACGCACACACGAGGGGCCTTTTAACATTCCTCTCCACCGAATTAGCCCGTAAATTATCTATTTTTAAATCATATTTATTCAAAGACAGCTCAGAAAAATTGCACTTTTCTTAATATTTCCAACAATGGACGCGTGTTGTCCCTGTCTTTACGCATTTAATAAAACAGACAGACTTTTTTTAAACACCTGCGTCTATTATTTTGCCTAGATCAACGTCACCCTGTGGGGTAGGCAACCATTTGACACTCGTGCTCAACAATAAGCCTACTTTACACTTAAATTAAGAAATATATTCTGGAAATTTGAAAAGGAAGGCAATTTTATTGCACGGAAGTGAAGGATTTCTTAAAAATTAAATACAAATCTAATATAAAAAGTCAGCAAAACACTAGAGAAAATTATAATACTTTTGCGTCCTCTAATTT